CTCTGCAATACACAAGCTGTTCAACTCATCTTCTCAACACCTTCTTTTCCTCATATGTAAATTGTGGAAAACAAAACAGCAAAAGATAAAATGGTTCCTGATAACCATGCCTGGAACAGGTAGTTCAGATCTCCCTAGGGGAGCCTTTTCCCACCTTGAACACTGCCCCCTCCACACACACACATCCAAATATTTTTTGAATAGTTACATGAGCACTTAGAGTCTTGTTTCCTTCTAGAACTTTCCTCCTCCAGCCACCCCATGCTGACTTCTCCCTCACCACCTGCTCCTTCTGCCTCAACCCCAGGGACACCTTCCCTGCCTCCAGCCTCTGAGTCTGTGTCCTCCTCTTCTCCTTCTCTGACTGTAGCTGGCTATCCCTTCTCTGACTCTCCAGTCCCTTCCCATCTCTTTCCATGGCTGAGCCCACAGGCCCAACCTTATATCCAGCTACCTAATACCTATTCTGTGGAAATCCAGTGCCCCTTATAAAGCTGACCCATGTGTTCCTTTGACAAACATGGACAGAGCCTGTCCTCCATGCCTAGCACCTTTGGGCACCTAGGGCACAACCCTACATAATGTGCCCATGAGAAGGCAGGGGAAGCACTGGGTGTTAGGTGTTATGGGGCTTTTTATTTATTAAAGTATAATTCACATGTAGTAAAATTCACCCTTTCCACTTACAGTTCTATGAGTTTGCACAAACATACAGTCCTGCTACCACCCCAGGCACAGTATAGGACACTGCCTACATTGCCATAAACTTCCCTTTCTTACAGTCAGTCCTCACCTTAGATCTCAGCCCCAGATAATCACAGATTCTGATTTCCCAGAAAATCACAGAAAAAGGAATCCTACAAGCTGTAGCCTTCTGAATCTGGCTTATTCCACTCAGTATTGTGTAGCCAAGGTTCATCACGGTGCTGCCTGCATGAATGGTGCCTTCCTATTCATTTCTCAGTCATGCCCACTGGATACCTGGGCCATACTTGTTTATTGATTCACCAAAGTCTATTCTGTATAAATAATGCAGGATAAAACCAGGCTCCAGGAGAGCTCGTTGGCTGTGGAAGTTGTTCATGCACAGATTGAAATCTGTTGTTCCTCTGAAAATCCTTTCTCTTTCCCAACCACGATCTATCTGTCCAAGTTCTCTTCCTTCTTTTTTAGGACTTTTTCAAATGCCCTCTCTCCAACAAAAATAAGGTTTACTATGCTATGCCACAGATTTGTGATGTGAGGTTCAGAGACACAGAGTACTCTACAAGAGCCAGAGCTAGAGTGTAGCAGAGGCAGAACTGGAATCCAGGGCCAAGAACATGATAGCCAAGGGCTCCCAAGCTCAAACTCTTTGCTGGAGGGGAGGTGAGAAGATGTAACCTATTCTCTGTGTCAGTCCTCAGATTTCCCAGCCTGAGGGTGACAGAGAAGGGGTTTTCCAATCCTGATGTTGGGCGAGGTCCTAGAAGACACAGGTCCGCTCCTGGTCCATTTCTCTATTGGAAACCTTCCTACATCCTTCTCCTGGTGTCTGAGCCCTAGGCCATATCCATCCCCCACTCTCCAGGCCAGTATGGACCTCTAGAGATCCAGCCCAGCTCAACTGGATCCATATGGCCCAAATTATTCATCCCAAGGCCTCAGCTGGTGGGTGGCCATGGCAAATTGTGTGATGAGATCCAGCTGTGGGTATTCTTTGTCCTGCCCAGGAACTTGCAGCCTCAGGAACAGGGGGAACTTAGTAAGGATGCATAGGGAGCTACAGTCTCTCAAGATGACCTCAAACTACCCTGAGTCCCCAGCCTACTTTTGCAGACCCTCAGGCAAAGAATCTTGGAAACTAGTCTGACAAAAAATGACTTTGGGCAGATCTTCTGAACTAGAGCTCCTGAGGAGCAGTCATAGGGGAGATCTAGGAAGTCTCAACCCAGGAATGAACTTGCTGTTTGACTATCTAGAGTAGAAGGCCAGAACCTGCAGGTTACTATGCCTGGAAAACCCCAAGCCCAGCTTAGCATAGCTTTACTTGCTCTGCCCAGGCTAATAGCCCCAGTCAGCTGCACACTAGGATCTCAGGAACTAGGTTAGCAAGGGAGAGAGTCACAAGAGGTGTCTAAGAAGATGAGAGAGTAAAAAAATGGACCAAACATTCATAATGGGATCACAGCAGGCAGACCTTAGTACAGGAATGACGTGGCAGGTGAGAAAAAGTGAACTCGAGGTTGACACCTGAGTTTGGTGCTTTGGAAATGAAAAGAGGCAATGACTGAGATGAAAAGGTGACAGAGCTTCAGGGACAGGGCAGTGGGAATGAAAAGAATCAGAGGTCCACTTTATTTATGTCATATGCTTGAGGTAGTGTTGGAAACCGTACAGAGAAGCCAAGAAGGTGGGACACCCAGGGCGGAAGTCCAGGTGGAAGATGGTGACAGCACTGTCAGCACAGAGGACATGGAAGTTCTAGGAGCAGCTTCAGCCCATGGGCAGGGCCTTTGTACAATTTGGGAGCTTGGGTCCTCTGGCATCTGGTGCCTGGCGAAGTTTATAAATCCTTCCAAAAGCACATAAAACAAATACATAGGAATCCAAAATAATATTGAAATCATAACTAAAATATTAAAAAGCAAATTTGTGATAATGCTGAAGCATTACCCAGTGGTAGACCTGATAATGTCCATAATTTCAAATTTATAGGGAGAAAAAAGTCATCTTTGAAGACACTGTGAACCACTGTTGAATATGAAAATGTTTGTGATCTCTATAGGACAGCTCTGGTTTGTGGGCGAAGTTCATAACAAAGGAAATGATAGCTTTTAATTACACATTTCCTGAGGTTCATGGGCCCACTGAATTCTCTTCTCAGACCCCGCGATTGCACCCTGAGGACACTGCCCTGGGGAAACAGGGGAGAGAGAGAAGTCCTAGCACTGGGCCATCAAAGCCCCCAACATGCAAGAGCCTGATAAAGCAGAGCAGCAGCCAGGGACAGAAGGGACAGCAAGACAGAAGCCTCTGAAAGTGCATCCACTGGCTATGCCACTGGCAGGCCCAGCAACAGACACGGGACAAGCAGTGTCCCTTGAAGGGGGTGACGAGCAGGGTCACGGCAAAGTAAATGGAAGAACAAGGGGGATTCCCGGGGCTGGAGTGGATGATGGGTAGTAAAAGAAAAGGATGCAACATTAGAGGTTACTCTTTGAAATATTTTTGTATATATGAGATACACCAAAAGTATATGTTAACTTTTTACAGGGTAGAGTGGACATGGAGGTGAAAAAATAATTTTGTGTCTCAGCAAGCAGAGAAACTAGAGAGGCAGCGGGCAGGGCTGTGGGTGATTTTCAGGCGCGAGTGAGAGAGCACTTCTGTGCTTTGGGAGGGACTGACAGGGGTGATGACACTGAGAAAGGAGACCAAGACTTGAGGGCTAAAGGGGCTGGGGAAGCTTTGGCTCCTCGCAGTCTCCATGCCCAGGCTTCTCACCCTGGAGCCAGTGTCAGACGGAGCCAGAGGCTGTTGAAGGGCAGACTGCTGGGATGCCTGAGCCCCTGCGTCATAGAGCTGGGTGGGCCTGGAAACTTGCGTTTCTAAACAGCTATCAAGTGGTGCTGAATTTTGTACCCACTTAGAGAAAAGTCCTGCTCTAATCAACCATAGCATCACCAGGTGCACCCCTTTGGGGTAGACAATGAAATGCAATCTGTAAAGGTATCCCTGGAAGACGTAGGGATGGGAGTGCACCGGTGAGACCAAGGAGAGGAGGAGATGAAGAAGCCAGCAGCTGCCACCTGGCCTCCAGTCCCTGAGGACTCCTGGCTTTCCTAGAGACCCTTGAATCCACTCACTCTGTGGAATCTCCCTAAGATTGAGTGAGAGGGTGAGGGAAAGAGCCAGGAACAGGGTAGAGATGGTGGCGTGAGCCAGCAAGAGCAGAAGAGAAGGTGCCATGGAATGAGGACAGAGGGAAGGAAGGCGAGTTCACACACAGCCTGCAGGCTCTGAGACTGAGGACGTGCTGTTCACCCTACAGCTGGAGCCTGGTGTCAGACCAGCCCTGCTTCCTGGCTTGCAGGAAAGAGCAGCCCTGTCCATGAAATGAATGACAGCATGCACGTTCCCAGGACCCTTGGGGACCAGGGTCCGACACTGTGTGGCAGATAGACAAGGCCAGGAATTAGAAAGCACAGCCTGGCAGATGGACCTGCAACCTGAATAAGGGAAAGATGGGTGCGCGCCCCTGCTGGCTGCTTTCCCCTGGGGAGCTGGGGCCAGGGCATGACATAAGGGCCTGTGCTCTGGCCCTCCCCTTTAGCATCAATTCACTGAGCACAGTGTACCAAACACTGTGCAAGACATAGAGATAAAGTAGTGAACAAAATCAAGTTCCCACCTTTATAGGTTTGACATTCTAGAGGACAAGAGAGAACAAAGAGATAGACAAGCAGTACAAATTGACAGAGTGGTAAGTGGACCGAGAGATCTGAAATGACAAGAGGAACTGACTAAGCCATTTGGATGGGGCTAGGGTGATTGGGGGAAATGTTTCAGAGGGAACAGCATATGCAAAGGCTCTCAGGTGGCACAGGCTTGCTTGTGGCAAGGATATTCTAGAGGCTCTACACGTGGAGAGGAGGAAGAGAGGGACATAGGGTAGGACGGGTAACAAGAGTGATAGTGGGAGGCTCAGGCATGAAGAAGCCCAAAGGGAGGACTTTGGCTTTTGGTCTGTGTGAGATGGGAGCCCTGGGATGGTCCCTAAGAGCACAGAGAGTGTGGCTTGACTAAGACTTAACAGGATCCCTCTGGCTGCCAAGGGGAGGGTGAAGGAGGCTGAAAAGCAAGGAGAAGCTACAGGGACAGTGCGGGCAGCAGGTGGGGATCACTTGGCCTGGCACATTCTGAGCCCCTAGCGGCTCTGTGGCTCCACATGGAGACACTCAGGAGGGACGGAAGCTGCCTAAATCCTCTCCATGACCCAATCCACTGTCTCACTGCAGCTGGAGGAGAACATCCAGGCCATCCTGAGGACGGAGCTGCAGCAGGCTCAGCAAAACATAATCCAGAAACACACAGACTTCATACTTCAGCTGGGCACCAGCCTGATGGCCCAGACCACAGCCCAGACCCTCAAGCTGATAAACATGGAGGCTCAGGTAACCAGGAGTGAGTGGGTGGGTACCCAGGCTGGTGTCTTGCCTTGACCTCTATCCCTCTATTCCTGTTTTATAAACTTAGTTTTGTAAATTTAACCAAGAACATCTAATACCTTAAGGAAACCTATTGCTTTAGACACAGAAAGCTCAACCTTTTAATTGTAACCAATTTATATATATTCTGATTATATATTTGATAAGATTTGTTGGGAGGGTGCCACCATAAGACCCTGGGGAAAAAACTGGAAACACACTCAGAAGTGGAGAAGCTGAATGTATCAGTTTAGGCAGCTGCTTTTTTAGTCACAAAAGGGAACTGCATCCAGCAGTTCCCCAAGCTAAAGGGCTCCCCACTTATTTATCTTAACAATCACTTTTGATCACTCATGTGAAACAAATCCTAACAATTAATACTTTTATAAACTATGTATTTTATTTCAGACCAAGGAAAAACTCTGAAGTTATGGTATACAGACAATAACAAACATTGTATTTATAAAACCAATTTTGATACTATCTCACTAAGCAAACCTGGATGGAAACATGTCACCAATTTCAAAGACATCTTTTCTCTTACCTGATTTAACAAGTTAAATTAGCTCACTACTAAGCCATGAGAACAAAAGCATTTGGGCTATATAATGAGTGTCCACCTATCAATAAGCCAACTTAAATAAAAATTTTGGAGGATAATATGTGAAAGTTAATACACAGAAACAGATATTCATCAAATTATAGAGGGAAAAAACTTACAAACTTACATCCTTTATTGTACAAAGCTTGTAAGCTTTTATTCACAAGCCCCACATAAGCCTCAAGCCTATCAGCCCTCATCTTGTAATGTCTTGATTGAACTTGGCTGTCTCAAAAAACCTATCGAACTGATTATTCACAAAAAGTACAAACATAACCAAAAAAGCAAAAAGAGAAGGAAAAATAAATTGTTATGAACTCAAAAAGCTTTAGTGAAACAGCTGAATCAGTGATTAAACAAGCAAGAAACGTAGAACACACAAAACAATTACTTTTAAGTCAGAGCAAACTCTCAGATATATTGGACAAGCTGAGCTATAATGAGGTTATAGCTTTAGGTTTATACTATAAATACACTAGTCAGTACTTTTCCTAGAGGTCTTTAATTAGCATTATTTAGGTGAATCATAACAGATCTCTTATAATACATTAAAATACCAATAATAATCAGAAGGGGAAAGACAGAGAGAAACCCTTCTACACTGTGAAAGCTGGGACTGTTTAGAAGAGGATTAGACCTTAATTTTGGAATAGCCATCACCACAGTACAGGCTCCTTCGAGCCCTCTGAGGTAGAGTAATTACGGTATACTGCTCTTTTGACCCACCACGCCCATGCCTCTATATTAGAGTTATTATAGTAAACTGCTTCCTCGATAGCCAGTTTTTTGTAAGTTTTTTCCCCCTCAATTCTTTTTTTTTTTTTTTTTTTTTGGTCTTTTTCCTTTTTATCGGTACCGGGGATCGAACTCACGACTGCCTGCTTGCAAGGCAGGCGCTTATGCCACTGAGCTAAATCCCCAGCCCTCCCCCTCAATTCTTAAGAATGCAGCCCAGTGGCTGTTGTCCACAAAAACAGAAATTTCTCTCCCAGAGTTGAAAGAAAGTGGTTGAAACTGAATCTATATTGATCCCTACAGCAGGCCACCTGACTAAAACTTAAGAGACAAGCCCACCCATCAACTGACTAAGGTGATAGGCATCTGTGAGGTTCTAACGTTAGTCCCACTGTGATCTTCAGCCTTAACCGTAATTGTAAGATACCTTCCCCAGGGAACCCAGGGCACACTCTACTAGGTAACTAGCTCCATGAAAGGTAGGGCAAGGGCCAGACAACAGGGGAATCAGCACTGAGAGAGCCTCAAAGGTGAGTTGGGGTCCTAACCAATTCCCAGCCCACTAAATCTATCAAGACACATCTGAAGAAGAGGGAGTCTGCTATATCAGCCCATATTCACAGCTCAACTGTTAATGGAGTGTAATGAGAAGGTTCTGACAGAGGGGGTCTCAAGTCACCCTGAAAAGGAGATACCAGGAGAGCACTGAGAGGGTCTGGCTCTCCTCTCACAGAGGAGTGCAGGCTGGATGTGACAGGCAAGTGGAAGTTTCTCTGCTGGACACCCTATTGGGCTGCAGGGACCTGGTTGCCACCAGAGGATGTCCCCAGGGGTTCAGCAAGAGATTAACTGGGAGGTTGCCGTGGAACCTGTCTACCATGTCAAGAGTAGTAGCTTTTAACTGGTGACAGGGTATCAGCATTTCCTAGAATGCAAAAAGGATAGAAAATGAAAGTGAGGTTCAGTCCTTCTGCCACACTCACTTCTCCATAAAGAAGTGCACTCCACCTTGGGCACCAAAGTGTCCCTGGACTCTCATTTTGAGGATGACAGAGAATGAGGACAATGGACACAGAAGTGAGGAACAAACCAAAAGTAGTAGATGATGGAGTGTCTAGTTACTTCTCATTGCTGGGACAAAATACCCACATGTTAAAGGAAGAAAAGTTTATTTTAACTAACAGTGTGTAGAGGTTTCAGTCCATAGATTGCTGGCTCCAGGCAGGGCAGCATGGCACCTGGGCATGCAGAGGAGAAACAGCAAGCAGCATCAATGAGCCTCCCTTTCCCTCTTTATTCCAAATTCAGGCTACAGCCTATTGGTTGCTGCAACTCACACCTCGGGTGGCTCTTCTGTCTTCAGTAAATCCATTCAGCCACATTCAGAATTATGCTACACCTATCAGTGAACTAATCCAGTTATCCCAATACCCATAATCCATATTCACACACCCTAGATCTAGCCACCTCTGAACAACCTCACTGATGAGTGCATGAGACTGGGGAAGGCCATTTAGGCACAAGCTACAACAGAGAAAACAAACAAAAGCTCTAGGTAGCTGAGAGGGGTTCCAAGTAAGGATATCAAAGAGGCATCCCAGTTCAGGGGTTTATATACAAATTTTAGTGAGGTATTTGGTGGACTTGGAAAAACAAAGCAGTAAAGCAATGTGGTTGCTGTTTTTAGCTAGGCCTCTGACTGTAGAACACACTTCACTTACACCACAGCTTCCCAGGGAATATCTCCAATTTACCCAGGCCCTGGCTCTTTGAAACAAAAGGGTTGCCATTTTTAACTAGGTGTCAGGAGAACAGATTTTTCCTGTCCTCTAGCTCTGTGGGGCCTCTTTCCCCTTCTGTTCCAACTTTCCCAGATTTTATCTCACTTTACTCAGGTCCTTATCCTAACTACCTGTGGTTTCTCTACCCCCTGGTCTCTGCGGGAACAACAGAGGATTGTGAGCAGAGGACCTGTATTTGGAGATATCTTTGGCTTCTAAGTAGGGAGTCGACTATGGGGCAATATAGACCAGGGAGCTGTGTGAGGAGGCCAGTGCTGGGCACTGAGCAAGAGATCATAGAGACCAGTGCCACACTGGGGGTCTTGGAGGGAAGTGGTCAGGGCCTTTTGGTAGGGGTGGCTGACAGTGCTTATTAATAGAACAGATGTTGGATCACTGTTGTATGCAGTGATAGGGAGGGCAGGAAGCAGATCATGCAGTTGGGTGGGACTTGTGTTCAGGTGACTGCACAAGTGGCCACAGGAACTAACAACTTGGACAGTGGCTTTTGGTCAGCAAATGTCAGGAATGACATCCTGTGGGCCGGTAGATGGCAACTGGTAGGCTCCTATAGTGAGTCTCCACACTCCTTCATCCTGAGACAGATCCTGAGCCAGACACTGAACATGGAGAAACGGATGCTGGAGATTATGCAGACCACTGAAAAGCTGGAAAAGCAGATGCAGGAGCAGAATCACACAGTGCACCAGCTGCACAACTGCAGTAGGTAGGTACACGGTCCTACCAGGGAAGGGGTTGAGCTCAGAACCTGGGCTAAAGCTAGGGCTGGGTTTGGGCTGGCAGATGGACATGGGCTAGTGTCTGGGATGTGACCAAGGCCTGGATTAGGGCAGAGGGACCAGTGTAGGGGGATGTGACTGAAGCTGTGACTGGGCCAGGGCCGCTAAGTACTACAACTAGGCTCTTGAGACCAAAGAAGCTTGGAGGAGAGTGGCCACGGAGATTGGGTTAGGGATGAGCTGAGAGCCAGGCAGGCCTAGGTCACAGCCCCCAGTATTGAATAGGGACCAAGAAGGGGCATGTTCTTTGCTCAGGACACTGATCCTTTCTCCTGTGCTAATGTCTTTCTCTGTTTATAAAATTTTAACTGCTTTATGGAGGTATAATTTACAAGTCATACAATTCATCCATACATTTTAATTTGCTTTACTGTTTACAAGGAACTAAACCTGATCTAATCTACTTGATCCCCTTCCCTGAGGACACCACAGTTACCACGTTCTAGTCTGTAAAGTCAGAGTTCCTTCCCTGTATGCAAAAATACATCAGGGAATAGAAAAGATTAGTCATGGGATACATAACACAGAAAAATAAGATATCCAAGGCAGATTTTTACCTTTATTGGTTTACAGCTGAGTAGAGAAAAAAAATTACCAAGGTCTGAATTCCAGGGGAAGCTAAACCTACTGAGTGAACAACCCTGTCAACGAGGCAAGATGCTTTTGCTTGCATGGCTGGTTCAGGACATGGCTGTACGTTCCATCCTCTCTCTGACCTGAATGCCGCTGGCAGAGATTCTTATTCTCATTCCCTAAGCTTCATGTGGCAAGAACTGGGTAATTTTCAATCACTCAGAATTGGGCAACTGCATAAAAATACATAGAGATGGAAAACATTGTTAATAAACTCTTGGTCCATGAAGACAGCTAGAATTCTAGAATTCAAATACTCAATTTGTATTATAACGTGGGGCTTGGAGGCAGGGCTTGTGCCCTGGCTGGGTTTAGTTGAGTCTGAGAAAGGGTCTGTAAAACTAGATCTAGAATAAAACTCTCCCTCTCATGCCTGTCCCTCAACCAATAGGGATCTGGAGCCAGACAATGGCTACCTGGATGTTGGTGTCCCAGATGTCTGACCTGACCTCCAGTGTGCCCCAGATCTCACCACTCCCCTCCTCATAGTAGTCCCCTGCCTATTATGGGCACAGCCTGTGGGATGTGTGACCCTACCTCTCTGGACCCCCCTACAAGCAAGCAGGCATGTTTGACTCAACCTCTCTGGACTTTGCTGTGAGGCTCCGAAGGAGGGGTTGGGCAGTGGTCTCAGTCATGTGTTACCTGCCCTGCAGTGACCTGGAGACTCAGTTGCATGACCTGAAGGCTGAGCAACAAAACCAACTGGGGGGCCTCCATAGAGAGAAGGATCAGCTGTACCATCTACTGAGCAACCAGGGCAGCACCCTTGCTAGCATCCAGCACAGCATGTTTGCTGTCAGCAGAAACTCCAGCCAACTATGGCAGAAGCAACAGCAGCTCCAGGAGAATCTACAGCAGCTGGTGACTATCCTGGAGCCGAGCCCAGGTGAGCAAGCAGGGTGTGCCAGGCAGGAAGCTGAGGAAGAGGGCAGAAGTCAGAAAGGAGCCCTGCTCCGTCTCCAGGGTCACTCTGGGCTGGGAACTGTCCTGGAAAAGATCAAACCCTCCTGGCCTTCTGGACATAGAAATAACAACAAGCAGTAATAATAATGGGCAGAACAGTGGTCCTAAGAGAAACCAATCTAGACTCTGCCTCCTGACTCCACATCCTATCCCACTTGCGGCCTCAGTTTCCCCATGTGTTTAATGGAAGTGATGGTGTTAAGAACAGCATTAACCCAGCTGACAAATTTGGGTTTCAGGATTTAGCACTTAGCCCCAGTTGTCTGTGTTGCACTACACTCCTGGGCCTCCGTTTCTCATAGAGTGGCAATGTAGGACTCAGTGCACATAGAGAACAAGACTTCTCTGCTGTGAAGTCCCCACCTCAAAGCGCAAGAGAACCAGAAAGAACACAGATGGCCTCCCCACCCAGTTGAGAATAGAGCACAGTGCTTCGCCTGCTCCTCAACACTCACTATTTCCTCTATGGCCCGCTTAGGGCCAAAGGTTCCTGATTCCACTTTCACATATCAACAAACGTTGATTCCTCACCCACTAGGTGCCAGGCCCAGTGCTGGGTATGAGGGATTCAGCAGTCTACACAGCATGGCCTGTGTCTTACAAACTTAGATTTGTGGAGCTAACAGGGTGGGAGGAAATATTTGTTTGTTGAGTGCCTACTGCTGCCCTGCTAGCAGCATTTCTGAAGCCCCACAGCACGGCTAAGGAGAGGGAACTTTCACCGGAAATCAGAAGGGTGCATAGGTGGGATTGGGTTGCCCTCCTTTTAGGAAGTAGAGAATGGCTGAGTGAAAGGGAACCCAGAGGAGGCCAGATAGGAGATCCTACTGCTAGTAGACATCAATGGGGGCCTAGGAAGACTTCAAGGACAAGGAATTTAGCAAGAGTGATGAGGTTCCAGGTATTGTGGCTGACAGGGACTGGGGGCAGAGAACTCCACTTAATTTGATGAGGCTCAAGGAAGAACTGGATGCCCTCCAGACCACAAGCTGCAGAGTAACCAGAACCCATGGGGGCCTGTGTGTGGCCCTGGCACTGAGGCTGAATAATATGCCCCATATGTGAGATCTGAGGCTCAGCCCAATTATAGGGATGGGTTCCTCTCTCCCTGCTGCTCCCCACTAAGCCAGTCTGCAGTGTGGCCAAAAGTCTGCTCACCTGCAAGGCTGAGAAATTGTGTCAGCACTTCACCATTGGTATCCTTTGCCCAAACACCCTACACTCTCACCCAGGAAGGACAATTGGAAAGTGTTTTTCTTCTGATAGAGACTCCATTCCCAAGCACAGAGTCAAAGATGGAGTGACAGGAAGGGAGCATGGCCTCTTGGCAGAGTTCCACTACTGGCTGGGTCACTTTCTACCACTGGGCCTTTGCATACTTATTGAATTTCTCAGACCTTCAGTTGTCCTCCCTGTGGAATGAGGATTGGTTATAAAATGTGAAATAGGTCACAGAGCATGAAATAAGACCATGCACACAATAGAGCTTAGCAAGGTACCTGGGGTCAAAAGGGGCAATCCAGGTACAGATTCCCATCTCAGAGACTCAGAGGGGGCCCAGAAAGGAATGACACAGAGCTGTATATCCAAGCCATTCACTCTACCTTTATGTCCCAGCCACCTTCTAAGATTTATCCTAAATACAAACAGGCATGTAAGGACCCTGAAGTACAACACTGGTGCTCATTTCACTTTTACTGTTACTGTTGTCATCGCTGCTGGTGTTAACAAAGGAAATTTACAGTGCCCAGAGCCATGAAAAAGATGGCTAGAAATCTCAAGCCTGCTCCTAGCTCATCACTTGCCTTGCCAGGGAAAGCATGTCCCTGATCACTTCTGAGCCAAAAGTTTCCCACCGCTTTTCTGGATTTCAGCTCTCATGTATTATAGGAGCTGGGGACTGCTGGCAGGTGGCAGTAGTGACTCCTGTCTGGGAAATGCTATGCACAAGTCCTAATGTTCCTATTGATGCTATGGGCACAGCAGCCCCCTTCAGACAAGTGTCCCAGATGCAGGACCTATGAGCCACAGTTCAGATGTGAAGCCCAAACAGGATCTCCCATTACCTGATAGTCTCCTGGTTCCTCCTTGGTATTGAAGTATGTTGTAGCCAGGGTTTGCAAGGAAAGAAATTTAATAAAGGACACATAATTTATACTATTATTTTATAATAGCCATGAGAGTCAAACACAAAAGTGCAGGAAATCTATCCACACACTGAAGACCCCAGAGAATCCATCTGAGGGCCTGGATCTCACAGCAACATCCTGCATGAGCCCAGCTGAAGACCTAGAGTCTCATGCAAGTCTGTTTCATGGGTCTGGCTGGGAAGGTCCAAAGGTCAGAGGTGAAAGCTAGAAAGTCTATGCCAGCAGGTAGAATGATCGATGCCAGTAGGCTAAGGGATCTGCACTGGAGTCAGGAAGTGATGCTCAAAGTAAGAACCAGAGCTCCCCTGAAAAGTACCACAGCCATCCTCAGTAACAACAAGGTCCTGAGCTCCTCTGAAGATGAGAACAGCCAAGTTCATATCAGGAAAGCAGCTCAACAAGCTCCTCCAGGAGAGCCAAGGGCAACAGCAAAACCAACACCTTTTTTTCCTCTCCAGTTCTTCCTACTATATTGGGAATAATCCTGAGGTCAGCATTCTACACCCAGGACCATGCTGATTCACTTCAATTGAGTGTTAAGTTGACCAGGAGTTGTCAATCATTCACCACAAGACACCTGCATCTGAGACTTTATGCTGTGCTTGAGTAACAGCCTACGTAGAGTTTGGGTTCTGATATAACCACCGCCCACATCTCAAATTGGCCCTACTAAATGAGCTAGAGGGAGGATTTCAAATGCATGCACTTCATGCAATGCAGTGAACATTATCAACGCCCACTTTTTCCAGTGGCCCATGGGCCCTGCTAAGGTTTCAGGAATATCAGTACTATCCTGAGCTCTAAAATAGTGAAAGGAAAAAAACGTGAATTTGGAAGGCCAGGGGTGAGGTCCCTGGGAGGGCAAATGAGGGTCCTGTGCCCAGAAATGCAGGTAAAGCCAGGCTAAAAGGTGGGGATGCCCTATGTCCTCTACCTTAGTACACTCCAAGAAGGGTAGACTGTACCCTCAAACTCAGCCTCCTGGTCTGTGGAATGGGAAGCAACTTGGATGAAGGCTCCCCTCCCTCTCTTCTCAAGAGCCTGGTGCCTCCTCTCTGGCCTCACTGCCTTGCAGCCCTGCCCCTCCAGCCCCATCCTGGTATCAGTGCTCTTACTGGGCACAGCAGACTGAGCTCCACAGCCTGGCACACAGGCTAGTTGTCTCTGCTGAAACAGGCTCTCTGCTCTCTTCCTTCCTTGCCCTGTCTCCTCAAGCAGCCAGGGCGTGCTCCGACTAAGAGGCCACACTAGTGATCTAAATCAGCAACCTTCCATGCCCCTGTGCCTTTTACAACAGACCTGTTCAGAGCTGTTCAGAGCCTATTCTAGTCAGTGGTTGCAGGGAGAACGATTACATGCAGGACACAGAATTTGCAATTTTATTTTATGATGGTCATCTGGAGTTAAACAGAAGAATGTGCAACAAATCTATCCACAACACTAAAGCCCCAGAATATTCAGCCAAGAGCCTGAATCCCACAACAATGTCCTGCATGAGTCCAGCTAAAGACCCAGAGCCAATGAAAATGCCTCCCACAAGTCAAACTGGAGATCTAGAGCTCACAACAAGGCCTCACGCCAGTCTGTTTTACGATCTGCACTGGGAAGGCCCAAAGGTCAGCAGGGGAAGCTAGAAAGTTTATGCCAGCAGGGTGAAGGAGCTGTGCCAGTGGGTTGAGGTTATTGCAGTGAAGCCAAGAAGCAATGCTCAAAATAAGAACAAGGGCTGCCCTGAAAAGTACCACAGCCATCCTCAGCGACAGTGAAGTCCCAAGCTCTTCTGACGATAGCAGTCAAATACATGCCAAGAAGCCAGCATGACAAGCTTCTCCTGGAGATTAAAAAGCACACATCTTCCCCTCCAGCGCCAGGAAGCAAAAATCAATGTAAGGAGCAAAGCTCCCCAAAGTGAACCACAGCCACTCTCAGCAAAAGGTCCTGAGCTTCTCCAATGATGATGACTGAATTCATATTGGAGAAGCTAGCCGTGACCTCCTCTACGAGAACCAATGGCTCAAAACAGCAACACTTAGGAAACCCACAATGCCCCGCTCTTTTTCTCCACCTCTCTATGTTGGCAGTTTTCCTCAGGTGGACCATCTGCACTCAGCACCATGCTAATTTAATTCAGCTGATGTTAAGTTGACCACCAATTTTAATCCATAACAGAGCCTTTATCATGCTATTCCACGTGCCCAGGCCACCACCCCTCCTCTACCCAGGAACTACTGCTCGGGTCCCAGCCCACTATCCCTCTTCTAGGAACCTGGCTCGTCTTCCCATCGCTGCACCTCCTCACTCAGGGCCTGCACACAGGAGCCCACCCTGTCCCCGCCCTCTCTTTGCTCATCTCCACATGACTTTTGCTTTATCCCATCGATGCTTGCACATTTGCAGATGAACAGGTATTCCAGGACTGTGAGGACATCCGTAGGTCTGGAGTCAATCAGGACGGCGTCTACACCATCCACATACCAAATCTGAACGAGAGCAAGAGGGTAAGGAGGATCCTAGCATGTGGAGACTGTGGGTATCAGTAGACGCTGAGCCAAGGGCTTGTGAGATGAACCATCCCACATCAGAACTGAGTTTTGTCCAGTATCAGAGATGTCACTGAAGAGGGGTGCCTTGCCTTCTGGCACTCCATACACGCAGTGTCAGGTCTTGGGGCAAAGCAGAATTCATGGGAGTATAAGTGTCACCTGCTAGAGAGGCCTTTCATTGGAATTCCAAGAAATATCTTTGTGCTGATTAAGGCTATTCACTCTGATAGATCACATAAAGCTTGAAACTCTAGAGTCTTGGCAAAAAAAGGGCTTATTTCCAGTTTAAGGCAGGAATTGGATCTCTGCTCCATGCAGGACATTAGTGACTAGAGCCCATGGAAACACTGCCCTCTTGAATAAGAGGCTCCCAAGGTGGCCCTGAGCTTACAGGCTCAGTCATCAGGTGGGGAGGGGTTGGAGGAGAGGGGATGTCAGCTAGGACTTGGGGCAGCCAGAAAGGGGAGGGAAGAAGCAACCATCCAGCAGGCCTGCCCCATAAGTCCCTCTGCACTTTGCTTCTGACCGTTTGAGTATGCCAAGGAAGGGCTCCATTTGTCCCCAGAGTGTCTTTTACACTCTTCACACATGTGCTAAGTGACCCTTTTAACAAACAGATCAGCTGAGAGACAAAACTTTCTAACTAGAATTTCATATTTTGTTTTCATTATATTTTTATAATCATGTAAAGACACTCCTACTTTTCCATTTATGATACTGATAAGACTTCCTTGTAATAAGTATTTCATTTCCTTAAATATAAGGACATTATTTTTGTTTTTTCGTATTTTGTTTGAGACAGAGTCTCACTGTGTAGCCCAGGCTGGTCTCAAACTCATGTTGATCCTCCTGCCTCAGCCTCCTGAGGGCTGGGATTACAGGTGTGGGCCACCACGCCTGGCTCAAGACACTACTTTTTAAAATAAATCTGCTTTGTAAAAATGGAACTATGCTAGGATTTGGGAGGTAAAAATGAATGAGATTTTGGAACACTGATGAAGAGGCAAGAGCTGGCCAAGGGGGAAAGAGATCTGCGCCCAAGCCTCAGTGTTACTGTGAACCAAGCTCTTCACCTCTGAGCCTCCTGCACACCCTGGTGTGTCCTGCTTCTCTCTCTCCCAACTGGCCTTTCTTTCCTCAAAGCCCCTACTCTTCCTGCTGCCTCTCTCCTGAAACCTTCCACCCATCTCTCTCTCACAGACACACTGTTGTTCAAAGCCATGTTGAGGAGCACCTCCTCCAGGAAGATTTTTGGGGCCCCTCCTTGTAGCTGTTCAAATGTTCACAATCAGTTGTCTTCCCGCTCTCTCATAGCTTCCTCCAGACCAACCCAGTCTGAGGCATGATTTATCTCTGATTCATCAATAATTCATCCAGTACAGGGCCAGGTGCCAAGTCTACATTCAAGGAATCTTGAACATGAACTGGCTGGATGGAAAAATAGTGTGTGAATAGAAGTTCAGTTGAAAAATGTAGTTGTGATAGATGGTAAGCTCTTTGAGAGAAAAGATTCTTTTTGTCTCTCCCATGGGAGCAACCCCAGTGCTTTGAACAGAGCCTCACACATAGTAGGTGCTCAGCAAACCGTTGTGCCCTGAAGGGCAGCAGTAATTGCATTTCCTGCTGCTACACGGTGGCTAAGCCCTTATGCACATCCACATTTAATCCTTCCAGCAATAAGGAGTAAGAAGCTTCCATTCATTTCTCCCCTGGTATGTGCTGGGCTCTCCTCTAAACATTCACATGACCATCTCATTTAATTCTCACAGTAATGCCAGCTTCCAGTGGAGAAACTGAGGCACAGAGGTAAATGTATAAGCAGCCCCATTTTACAAGTGAGGATAAGGCAGGTGTGGGAGAGCATCGCTGGCCTGTCACTTTAGGAAATGATGACGATGGATGGGGTATGGGAGCCTGGATCTTTCTCATCACCTTGGCCACCTTTTACTCTACAGGGGGTGGGGGGCTCCATCAGCCAAGTCGCCCTCATGCTGTCTTAGACCTGTCTCCTGACCGTGACCTGGGGATTTCAGCAGCTCCTCTTTCCCCCAGGTGTTCTGTGTGATGGACACCAGTGGAGGCGCCTGGACCCTCATCCAGCGCCGTGAGAATGGCACAGTGAACTTCCAGCGGAGCTGGCAGGAATACAAGCAGGTGACACTGCTGCCCTGGGACAGGGTGGAGGGGTCTCTGCAGCTCTGAGGCCTAGTGCTGCTGCTGGGGTGTTGCCAGGGGCAGGGGTTTGGTTCATCCTCACCCTTCTCAGAAAAAGACATCAATCCCCTAAGCCACCTACCCTCAGATTGTCCAGTGTCCGTGCTCTTCCCAGGACCCCTCACCCTGAAAACAAACCTCGGTTTGTAATTTGTGACACACCTCCTAGGAATGAAATGTTAACCTTCATTTCGCTTTTTAGAAAACATTGCTAAGTTTTTTTTTTTTTAAGAATACAAAGAAGGTAACCAAAAAAGAAGTATCACCCACACCTCTGGCTACATTGCTTAAACAAATTTATTTCTCCTTTTATACATCTATGACCACATTTGCAGGACAAATTCTGTAATTTAAAATAGATCGTTCAAAGGCCTTGTGCCTTTTTCGAGATAAGATATACTACCTGACTGCCTTCCAATATTTGTTTGTGTGTTTATTTGTTTGTTTGAGGGCAGGGTCTCACTATGTAGTGGAGGCTGGCCTTAAACTCACTGCATAGCTCAGGCTGAATTTGCAGCAATCATCCTGCCTCAGCCTCCCAGGTGCTGAGGCATGAGCCACTACGCCCAGCAGCCTTCCATTTTTTTAATGAAATGTTAAGTAGAAGATTTTTTCACAAAGTGTCTTAAATGGTCTTCACCTTTTCAAAAGTAAAAGAAAAGGAAAGGTATCCATAAGGACACAGAATAGTATTATTAATTCTGTTTGCTTTCTGTTCCATTTGATAAATACAAATATCATATTAAGTAATGGCTATTCTTGAGCCAAATGGGTTTTTAAAAAATCATTAAAAATGCAAAGAGAAGTAGGTATTTCAGACACAGAAATACACAAATGATGTCAACGCTTAGTAAGTGGCACCTCATCCTGTAAATAGGGAGCAGGACTCGAGTGTCCCCTGACGTTGGTGCTGAGTTATTGTTCTGCCCAGAGCTTTGGTTTTTTGCCTCTGGACATGGGTGACAAGGCACTCCATGTGCTCTTACATTTTCATACATTTTTATATTGCTGAAATTCTGCAATGCCTGCCCTGTCCTTGAACAAAGTCTGTTCTATCATTTGTGTAACTGATTAAAATCTTTATTTTTTTTACTGAGTTTTAACACAGCTAAACACACAAGTATTAAGTGTAAGGCTCATGAATGTCACATATGTACTAACCCTGGAACCCTCTGAAAGCTAGCCATGCAAACCTCCCAGCACCCTAGAACCCTTTTTCAGACCCCTCCCAATCAACAGCCCCCTAAATATTTTCATATTCTCATTTCTGTTACCCACTTTAGGAACAGTTGTGCCCATTCCTAAACTTTGGAGAAATGTGATTATTTTTAATGTACTTTTACATTTACAAATGTGGTAGTCATTTTTCCTCTGGGTGGGGACTCTCCTACCCCAGACTGCTCACAATGATCACTACCTAGCAGTTTGGAATGTGGTTTCAGACCCTGGCCCAGGCCCCTTGATCAGCCAGGGACATACCTCCCTCCTAGGACTCGTCTCACCCTGTCCCCCTGTACCCCCATAGGGCTTCGGCAACCCAGCTGGGGAGCACTGGCTGGGGAATGAGGCAGTATATCAGCTCACAAGCAGGGCAAAGTATTCTCTGCGTTTGGAGATGGAAGACTGGGACGGCAGCACAAACCAAGAGAACTTCAAGCATTTCCAGCTGGGCAGCGAGGATGAATTTTACAAGTGGGTTTGGGGCCCAGGTGGTGGGTAGGCGAAGGTCCCTGGTGGGTTGGCTGGGTTCCAAGGCTAGAGCCTACAGAGTCTACACCAAAGGTCAGTCCCAGGGCGTCTCCCTTTTCTACCATCTGTCCCCAATTTGAGCCCACGTCATGGGATCTGGAGGCAGCTGGTTAGCACTCAGCACATCCTGACCACTGGTGGGGTGGAGAGAATGTCACTGATGCCACCATCCCAGAGTAGAAAGGGAACATTCAAGAGCAATCACTCCAGGTCAGTCATTTATAGAGACCCAGGAAGAAATGACTTGTCCAGTCCATGCTGTGCCCTGGAGTGAGGTAGAAGTGTCCCTGGGATGAGGGACGAGAGACCAGGACCCTTCCTGGCACTTTGGCAGCTCTCACTGGGTAAATCAAGGTCAAGTTGCTCTGAAGCTCTGTGCTTCCAAATTAAAATGGGCTTGGATATGAGGACACTGCAAAATCTTCACATTTTCCTACTCTCTCCATAGTCTGGTTCTTGTGTGTTTAGGGAAAGAAATGAACATTTCCTGAGCACCCACAGAGTTCCAGACACTCTGTTAACTCCTCCCATAACTCTGAGGTGGGCATTACTGTGCCTACTATTGTAAAATGATTCTCAGGCACTGAACTTAAGTCATCTGGCTAAAGTAACATATTAGGTAGCCTGGACTTGACTTCAGGTCTCCCTACTATCCAAACTATTGCACACATGTTGTTGCATCTCTGAGAAACTCTGATCTTGATATACTCACATTACCTTGGTTGCACCTGGGGCATCTCCCAGGCCCTGCCCTGGGGATCAGGGCATCCTTGAGCAGCTCTGGCCATATCTGCAGCCATTCTCCTCCCCCCCCCCCCACCATGGGACTTTAACTGCTCCCAAACAACCCCCAGGCACAGCCCCTCACTCCAGTCTCCCTGCCAGGCCTGATCATGTGCCAGGGGCCCAATAACAGTGAACACTAAGTGTGACCTGGGCTCACTGCCCTGTACTCTCTACATGCTGGTGCCACCAAACCACACAATGAGCAAGGTTGCCATCAGTATTGCTGTGGTTAACACCTGCGTAGATAAAACTGGAGAGGTAAAGAAGTTTTTCCAAGGTCATGCAGCCTCTGGGTGGCAGAGCTGAAGTTTGAATCCAAGTTTATGACCACCAGCACCAGGCAGCCTTAGCCATGCCTGCCAGGACCCTGGCCAAGAAATATAACTCCTCCTCCCTGAACTGCCTGCAGATGTGAAAGTCACCAAGCTGGGGTGCCCTGGGTATAGATCTGTGTGGGTTGCTGTGATCAGAGAGGGCTTTCTGGAAGAGAGAAGTGGACATGAGTGGTATGGTCCACCAGGTGCAAGATGGTTATTGGGTACAGAAATGCATGTAGTTCCCCAATCAGGCCACGCTAGAGCAAAATATGGCACTGACCCTCCTTGGTCTTGAGACCTTGAGCAGGTTCTTGTGCTCTTGGGATCTCATCTCATGTGGAAAGGGTGTTGAGAGGCTTAGATAAGAGCGAGTCCATCCCTGCAAAGGACTTTGGACAGTCCCAACCCCCTGCTGGAGGTTCTAAAACTGTCAGCTGTTGTCCTTAATATGGTCATTGTGATTTATCCACAAGACCTAGCTGATGAGATGGAGAAGAGCCAGCACACAGTAGATGCTTTGTCCTTGAGGGGCAGCAAGAAGATGAAGATTGGAGGAAAATGGTCAGGCTGAGGTCCCATCCAAGGACAATAGGAAGGAGACCCTAGCTGAGACAGTGTCCCCACTGAAGGTCTTTCCTCAACATGGCCATGACCTGACTCTGGTCTTCTCTCCCACCACTGCCTCGGGGCGGGCATCAGGATTTTTGTGAATGGGCACAGTGGTGTAATGTCTCAACTGGGTAAGGTGATCCTGTGGAACAACACCTTCAGCACCCGTGACGCAGACCATGACAACTGCAACTGCAATTGTGCGGCGATAATGTCTGGAGGTGAGTTAGGATCACATGTACCTTCCCCACCAGGGTCCTAAGGTCCCCTTCAGGATACCCCTTCTCCTAACCCAGAGGTCAGAGGAGTCAGGGGACAGCTCCCCATCAATGCTGTCTCGAACAGTGCTCCTGTGCTAGTACAGAGATCAGAGAGAGGGAGATGGAATGAGTCAGGGACAGAGCAGGAAGGACAGAGGAGACAGGGACAGATGGGACAAAGGGAGACAGAGGCTGATAGAAATGAGAGCAGTGGACACTGAGCTGCACTGCATCAGGGAAAGCAGAGGGAGAGCTGAAGAGGAAATGCAGCCCTGGACATAGCCAGAAAAAGACTCTTCATGGAGACAGAAAGACCTAGACTAGAGACAGACATCCAGAGGAAAGACCTCAACCAGAGACATGCACACAGTGTAACACACACACACACACACACACACACACACACACACACACACAAGCCATCAAGAGGGAAAGGCTCCTGAGAGAAACAGAGGCTTCCACATATGTACAGAAAGATCCGAGGTCACTGAGGAAAGGACACAGGACACAAAGGAGTCAGGAAAAAGAAAGGCGGTCCAGAGGGGCCTGGAGGGGTAGCCAGAACCCTCTGGTGCCCTTTAGAGCCCCTGCCTGAGCAGAGGGTCAGTTGCGCCCCAATCTCCTCCCCAGCCAGAGAGTTCCCCAAGGCAGCAACAGTACTGATCAATCCTTGTCCCCTCTTCCACAGGGTGGTGGTTTGATGCTTGTGGTGGCTCCAACCTCAACGGCATCTACTACCCAGCTGACCAGCACTTGCACAAGGCCAATGGTATTCGCTGGAACTTATTCCGTGGCACCACCTACTCACTGCGTGCCACCCGCATGATGATACGGCCCTTGCACAGCTAGCCAGTGCTATGCAGAGGCTGGGCCTTGCAGGAGCTGGACTTTGATCTCCCAGATCCTAGAATCAGCATGGAACACAGTTCTTGAGTCTCATCCTCGACATCCTGGGACATCTGAGCCAGCCATCTTTGTCCAGAGTCTAGAAGAGTCACCTGCCTCCTTACTCCCCTGTATGTGTGATAGCATGGGCATGGGGTCCCTTTCACTGCAGTATGTGCCCCTCGTTCTTGTTCCTCCTACCTCCTCCAGGACTCCCTCCACCTTGAGGGTCACTGTGCCCTGAATAAGCTGCTGACTAAACTTGGGCTCCTGGAAAGAAACCCTGACTCCTGGTGTGACTGCAGGTCTTGGGGGAAGAGGGACACACACAGGAAGCTGTCGCAGGCAGGCAGGCAGGACTCCATGACTTGTGGGCAGGACGATATCCCATTCCATACTTCCCCAGCCTTGAAATCCCCTTGCTTTCTCCAGGGTGGAGGGGCGGCACTATTCTCTCAGGGCAACCATTCTTTCCTCTCCACTCCACTGCTACGAGGCTCCAAAGCCTAGCATCAGACCTGGTTCCTCCAGCTCTAATGGAAGCTAAAAGGGATCATTTGCCCCAGCATACCTTAATTATTAAAAAAGAGGCTCGGACTTTACCTCCAGCCCTATTCACCCTTTTTTTTTTTTCTTTTTTGGTCTTTTTTGTTTTTTATCGGTATCAGGGATTGAACTCCCAACTGCCTGATTGCAAGGCAGGCGCTTATGCCGCTGAGCTAAATCCCCAGCCCCCCTATTCACCCTTTTTGGCTATAAGGAACACAGCAATGTCTCAGACAGCCTCTGAAACAGCTGAAAGGAATTTGAGTCAAAACAGACCTGAGGAAGACCTAGGACCAAGTCCCTGTCTATCTAGGTACTCATGCCTTCCAAGGCTCCTCTGGACCCAGGAGCCACTTCTCTGCCCATGTGGCAGCCACCAGGGCTCCTTGGTATTCCAGGTAACCCAGGCTCAAGTCCAGAAACCAATGGGTAGGACATCAACATCTGGGTCCAGATACCCATGACCCCACACCAGAGACCTCAGCCTTTCCCTGCCTCAGCCCACAGTGGTACTGTACTGGGGTTTGCAGAGAGAAGTGAGCCTTTGTCAGGGGCTCTTCACGAGTTTTTCAGAGACTGGGGTCAGGAAGCAGTTACAGTCACATTGCCACCACCTCATCTCGGTGTCCCCTCAACCCTGATGAGGCCCCATAGTCCTGTTATTGGGCAGGCTCGGCTTGGCCCTGCCTGCCCTAAAGCCAGGAGGCTGAGCCTGGTCCTCAGCCACAGTGCAACGCTTTTCTGCTATGTACTGCCCCAGACCCTGGATCCCCTCTCACCTTGAGTATACACAGCATAGACCTCCTTTTAATCTTTCAAGGGAAGCAGCACTTACTTGTCAAGCCTCAGTCACATGGCTGCTGCTGGTGGCCCTCCGGGCAGGACAGAGAATGTACCAAGGCAACCCTTCAGGCTTTCTACTGCCCCAAAGCTCAAGTTGCCTCACACAGCACTTGCCCTACAGGCCTTTCTTTAGCATCTACTGTGTGCAGCTTGGCAGCATGGACAGGACCTTGGAGCCAGACCTTAGGCCCATGGCTCAGCCTCTCAAGGCCTCAGTTGCCTGCCTGTAAAGTGGAGATGGTGTTGCTCTGTCCTTGCTGGGCTGCAGCAAGGAGGATGAGACCATGTGTGCAAACTTCCCAACAGAACCTGGTACAAAGCAAGTGCCTAATAAACGTTGGCTGCAAAGAAAGTAAATGAGGGAGAAAAGCATTTAGTTTTGCATCCATGGCTTTTATGTTTGCACTGCAGGGCTTCTAGGCTGGCTGTATGCTGAAGGGAGAAGGGCAAAGCTAAGAGACCCAAGACAAAGGCCCAAACCTCTGGCTGCACTACAGTTTCTAAAAAGGCTTGAAGGTGACTTGCAAGACACCTGCTTTTAGATATTCGTCCTGGCTTCTTCCTTCCTCCCCTTCCATCAGGAGCCTCCAAGTAGAAATTCTACTTGGAACAAACTAGTTCATGTAACTGAAAAGTTAAGGGAGGATTCAGGCATGGTTACCTGCAGTCACTCAAATGATGTCCCTCTCCCCTTCTTCACCTTGCCATTCCCTGTGTCATTTCATTCTGATGAAATGGCTCCAGCAGCCCAGATTCTTGTCCACCCAGTCAATATCCCCAGCTAGGGAGCTCCTCTGGCCTGACCATTCCAGCACAGCAGTGTCTCTCCAGGCAAGACAGGTACAGTGTCCAGCATAAGACTCATCGCCGTGCTTCTGACTGGCCATACCTGGGTCACACGATTGCATCAGGGTCAGTCCTACCCAAGGCCTGTGTGTCTGCAGGAAGCAAAAGCCAAAACTGGCTGCCAGGAGAGTGGCATTCTCCTCGTACTTCCTTCGTCCCACCCCCTTTGCTCTTCTTTCCTTCTCTGCCTTTCTTCTCAGGGACTTCCTGTCCCAAGTCTAGACTCCTGACACCAGCTCATCCCCAGGTCACCTCACAGCTATGACAAAGCCAGTTCACAACCCTGCCTCTGGCCCTCTCTGAACCTGAGTTTCCAACATTGGCAATAAGGATATGACCTCTAGCAGCCCTACTGACAGATGCTGACTCACAATGGCCACAGACAAAGCCAGTCAGAAGACCCTGGGCAACACAAGGCCTTGTGGGGGTAAGGCCAGTGCAGCCTTAGGCTCAGGCAGGAACTGGCTCTAGGATACTTGCATCTACAAGTTTCCCTGTCCTGGGGTCTGGGGATTTAGCTCAGCGGCATAAGCGCCTGCCTTGCAAGCAGGCAGTCCTGAGTTTGATCCCCGGTACCAATAAAAAGGAAAAAGACAAAAAAAAAAAAAAAAAAAAAAGGAAAAAAAAAGTTTCCCTGTCCTGTCTCTCCATTTTGTCAATGAAGACATCAGGTTCAGAGAGGGAAAGGTTCCAATGAAGACAGCTCAACCAGGCATCTCCTCCAGAGCACTCGCGTGTGAACTGCCCCCCTCCAGAACTCTCTGGAAGCATCTCCATAATGACAACAAAAATGTTGCATTAGTGTCTCCTCTGCCTATATCAAGGGCTAAAGGGACATTCTAGAAAAGCCTCCAAGACTAGTCTGTCTCACACTGATACCTGCCAGATCCTGATGGAGCCAGCCAAGCAGAATACATTGTTCTGAGCTCTGTGCCTGTCCCAGGGAAGCCACTCCCACACTGGGAGAGTTCAGTGTGTACACATCAAAGACAACAGCCCCAGGCCAGACGAAAGAAGGTGGCCCTTTCAGAGGGCAGGGAACAGCCATCATTGAGTGCCAGTTTGACCACTCTTTCTGAGTTCTCCCTCCTCTTGGTGTCTGTGTGGGCTTCGCCTCTCCCATTAGTAGCTAGTAGTGTTGCCTTGGCAACCACGACATGGCTACCTTTTGACAGAGCACCCCTCCAGATTCACAGGCTCTGATTCACAGCGCCTGGTCCACGTGTCCATCCGCATTTCCTCATTCCTTCATGTGTTCATTCATCCACATCACAATTATGTCTTGAGGTTGTGCCTGGGTCCAGGTCTGGCCGGGTGATGGGGTGACAAAGTGAACAAGAGAGATGTCCCCATCCTGCATTCACAGAGCTAACCAGGCTTAAGGAGAGACTGGAAAATACAAATTAAAATTCACTTATAAAACCAAGGTGACATTTTAATTATCATATTGCAAATTAAAAGTATTAAGAGGATGTAAAAGAGAATTACAGAGGGTTCAACTTAGAGTGGTCAGGGAAGAACCTCTGGGGAGGTGATGCTTAATGTGAGGACTAAACAGGTTTGAAAGAAGAAAGATGGGGCCCTATCACAAGGCTGTCATCTCCCAAGATGAGGCTGCCCTGGGAGGGTAGGTGCTATGAGGGCAGACTGGGCATCCTGTTCCCCCTTCTGCCAGGCGGGAAATGGTACCTTTGGGTGCAGCTGCCTTGCCTGAGGAGGGAAAGGATGTATTGAGCATGGCAGAGCTACTCAATGGCCATGGATGCTTGATTCCAGACTCCAATGAGTGACAGATTTAACTTGGTTATCCAACAAATAGGAGTGAACCCTAAATATTTCAGAGTAAATTTTTAACTGATAGAAACAAATCCAGGTGTTTGCTCTTTTTATCATTTTTCCTAATCCTTTGAGGAAGTACCCCCAGGGTTCCATAGGAACCTAGATTGAGGACAATTAGCCCAACAGCATGGCAAACAAACTTGGCATCTGTACCACAGGTTCTGGTGATTATGACTCACTGGCTCAAAGGGTACAGTGCACAGGAACCCCCAACCGGACAGCAATGGACAGAAAATGGACAGCAGTGCTAAGTTCAGACAAGGGAAGGGATACAGCAGCAGGGCAGTTCTTGGGGTGCTGGGAATGCCTGTCACTAGACCTGAGTGAGACACACAAGTGTTCAGTTTGTGAGGATTCAACTGGCTGCACTGTTATTTGCTCACTTTTCTCTAGATGGGATTCTCTGTATAAATATAGGTAGAGGAGAAGGGAATTAAGCAAATTTACAGGAAACAAAAAGAAAGCCATTTGAGGAAAAGTCAGAGTTTGGAGAGAAAGTTAGCAATGGGTAAAATTACACAAGCCTCCACCTTAGGCTCATTTGTCCTCATTCCAAGGAATCTGAAGTTTATAATATAGGCATATATAGTATTTTTTTGCTGCTTGGTTTGTAGTAACAAAAACTGGAATCAACCCAAATGAATAAGCTAGAAAACATTAATTTCTATACATCAAAATATCCCAATCTTAGTAACAAAACCAACCACCATGTACCTCTTGCTCATGGATTCTGTGGGTTAGGAGTTCAGGCAGAGCCTGTGGGTCAGTTACGTGCTCATGTTAGCTGTTCCTCTGTCCAGCGACTGGGACACACTCACCTGGTCCTTGCTTTTGGTCTCATGGGATATGCTTGCACTGTTTCAGCCCCTTAAATCGATAAAAGTCCTACTTTTTTCTTCAAGCAAGCTAGAGTTGGAATTCTGTTACGTGTATCTTAAAGATGCCCAAATGGCACAATAGCAAGGCTGTGAGTAGAGGTGACAAGGATGTGGCCTTTCCCACAGCTGAGCAACCAAGCCATGAAGCACCAGCATGCACTGTAAATCAGTGGT